CGTCCAGCTTGACGGTTGGCGTAGCAAACATCTTCTTGAAGTGAGATAGAAGGGCTGAACGAGAATCTGCTGACGGCGCTAGGGCTGACCAAGAATCTGGTGGCGGGGCTGGTTGCATGTCCTCGACTGCGGTTGCACAGTCGCTGTCCTTGTCGCGCAAGGGCATCGAGACTGTGGAAGCAGCGTCCGAAACGTCCTCCAAGCCTTTCAACGAAACTTGATCGGTCATTGTTGAAATCATGATGTTATCTGCTCCTGATGCTTGGCGCCTGAAATTGTTAGTTTTCGGGTAGCGGCGGCGCCCATTGGGCGTTGTTGTAGCCGCTATGTCCTCCATCTTCAGAAGCCTCAACATAGAAACCACCAAACGGATATGTTCTGTAACATCTGACACCCAGCGTTCCAATGAATAACATGTTGGTATCCGTTCGTCCTTCTTCATCGTCCTGAGAACTGCTGCACTAACTTTCCCGACTGGAAGGACACAGTTATTAAACCCAATACTCAAGAACGAATTGAGGAGTGGCCCGAGGAAACAAACCATCTTTGGAGTGACAGCGTGCGTCGCGTGAGCAAGGCTTCCAAGCAGATCTGACCATGCGCGACCTGCTTTGAACTCATCAACAACGGTTGTTACCGTTTCCTGGTCCACGTTTGGGTTTGGGGACTCGCGAGGCTTGCGAGACATGCCGAGTCGCCTTTGAATCGTTTGAGCCAAACTGGCTACGGGGCCTCTTTGGGGACCTTTCTGGGACTCTGTGACCTCTCTGGGGCCTTTCTGGGGCTTATCCAGGACCTCTCTAGGGCCTCTGTTGGGGCCTATGTTGGATTTCGCTGGGACCTCTCTGGGGACCTCTCTAAGACCTCTCTGTGGCCTCTCTGGACGTTCTGGGACTCTGGGACCTCTTTGGTACCTCTCCAAAGCGGAGCCCACTTGAAACGTAACACGCATCTACGTCGAACTGCTTACGCGTACAACACACTACGTTCCCCTGCTCTTCTAAACGCTACATGGGCAACGTGGCCCCGACTGACTCCAACATACATGTGAAACGATTGCACTATACATCTTACTTACAATGTACTGTGGCCGCGTTACACTATGATCTAGCATATATATATATATATATATTGTCATTCAAGTTCAAGTCCAGCCACATCCACTACACATCGAATCTACATGTAATATGCATCTAACATGAATCTAAGTTGAATATAACATGAATCTAACATAAATCTGATATGAATCTAACATAAATCTAACATAAATCTAACATAAATCTAATATAAATCTGAAATAACACTATAATCCTAACACTAGTACTGGAACGTTAATATATTATAAATCACATGTAAATCTAAGATAAATCTAAGATAAATCTAAGATGCGTATACGATAAATCTAAGATACAACTAAGATAAATCTAAGATAAATCTAAGATGCATCTAAGAATATGCACGTGCTGCACTTAACGGCAAGTTAAGTTGACTTTATAGATAAAGTTAAATCTAAGTATGCACTTATAGATAATATTCGCGCACTTACTGATAGGTGCATGCATTTATAGATAAGGTTGAACCTTAAAAATTAAGGGGCGCTGATGCATATGGGGGACTGGCTCCGGGGGGCGACGTTTCGAGGTCGGAGGTTTTCGGGCTCTGTCGGCGGCATTCCAGCCCCGGACGCCTTCCGGCAGCTGCGCCTCGCCGAGAGCGTTTTAGGGGTGCACGGGCCATCCGAAGGTCCAGAGGCAGCGTCATGGGGGGGACGGGCCCGGGCCCAGGGTTCGGTCGGGCATGTCCCCCTGCAGGCGGATGTTTGAGGAACAATAGACAGCACAGTCCCAAAATCTTCAAACATGCCCAACAAGTAGTCGAAACATCGTCCCCCGACGATTTTTTAAAGCTATTTTTTTGAATGCTCCTCCTGTAGGGGGACAGGCCCGACTTGCGCCCAGGGGGGGGCGGACGCCTCGACCCGCCATCGCCCCGTGGACCGTCGCTGGGGGTCCGAGCGCCCCCTTCCCGCCCAGGAGCGCGCGGAGTCGCCGTCGCGGGCCCGTCGCAGAGCTCTCGGCGGCGCAGCGCCGATTCCGGGTCGACGGTCCCCTCCCCCCCCTGAGGCCCCCCCGCCCTGATCGTTCCCCTGAGAGGACGACACCATCCAGAGGCCTGCGGCGAGTTCCGCGGCGTGCCAGCGAAGCGCGTCCAGAGCTGCCTTGGGCGGCCGTGATTTGTGGCAGCTCTCGCCCCCGGTCTTCGAAAGGGCGCAGCATGCGTCGCGGTCTTCCACAGGCCCTGGAGGGCTGCAACATGCGAGTGCTGTCCTCAGTGCCCAGGGAGCCGTAACGTGTGAAGCTTCTGTTCGCTGCTCCGTTGCAGAAGGCAGGGGTAGGTGGAGGCGGGGCGGAGCGGGAAGGCGAAGGGAAGGTGAGGGGAGGGGCAGGGGGAGGATGAGGGGAGGCTGCTAGGATACTGTCGGGGCTTCTGGGCCATCGTGGAGGGTCTTGCAGGCGTCTGGGGGCATCTTGGAGAAGTTCGCAGTGTCCCTGGGCCGTCTAGTGGGCGTTTGGGGGGCAGCTTTGGGACGCGTGCGTGGGGCCATCCTGTGAGCTCCCCGCGCCGTGTTGCGGACATCTTGGGTTCGCCTGGGGGCATCTTGGGGATTGCCTGGTCCGAGTCCGAGCGCGAAGGACGGCGCGAGGCCAACACCTCGCAAGCCGAATGCCTGTCGACCTCTTGCCTCTCAAGGGTCTCCCGGGGAGTCTCTGGGGGTACCTCCTTGGGTGCTTCCTCGAGCCTCTTGGGAGCCGCCGTGGGCCTCGTGCGTGGCTGTTTGAGGGTTGCCTTGGCTTGGCATCGCTCGGACGTGTGCTTTTTTTGGGCGACGACCATCGAGGAGCATTCTTAATCATCGAGCGAAAAATACACGCACGAAATCGAGAAATGCACGGGGAATGGACGTCCGAGCGATGGCGAGTTGGGGCGTCCCGCTGGGGTCTGTGGGGCGCCCCGCGGGCCTCGTCGGGTCCTCCTCGGATCTCTGCTGGTCGTCTCCCGGGCGCCTCGGCCGCTCCTGGGGACGCCGAGGGCGTCGGGAAGGCGGCGTGCGGCGAGGCACGGCGCCTGGGCGCCTCCTGGGAGGGCTCCTCTCCTCCCCTCTCCTCTCCGCTTCTGTCCTCACACCTCCCTCCCCCCATGCCTCCTCTGTCTTCCCTCCTCTCTCCTCTCCGTCCCCTCATCTGTCTTCCCTCCTCTCTCTCTATCCCTCTCCCTCCTCTCTCCTCTCTTGCCTCCCCCCGACGACGACAACCACCACGGCGACCACCTCGACGACCACGATGACGACGACGACCACCACCACCACCACGACCACGACGACCACGATGACAACGACTACGACGACGACGACGACGAGTAGCTCGTGACCTTCGGGGGCTCCTTGGAACACGGCACAGACCCAGGCAGACGGTGCACTCGTCACCCAGGCTCCGCCTCCCGTTGGCACCTTTTGCGCGAATGGCTGCGGCCACGCGGCACCTTTGCGCGTTCGCCGTTGGTGCACGCAGTTATACGCAGTTGGATGGTCCTTGCGCGCATCGCACCGAATGCTTCTGCATCCGTTCTTCGACCTGTGGCTCTGATGTGGATGCTGGTGTGTGTGTGTGGCGGCTATGGACTTGCGTGGTCTCGCCTCCACCAGCGCGCGCCTCGCGACTACATTTGGCGTGTCGCCCGCCGCTGCAACCCTTGCCGCCTGGCGCCACCGCCCCACGTAGGGTCGGCCGTCCCTTGCACTCCCTGACGTTGAACGCCAGCACGGCTTCCTGCACTGGCTGCGTGCGACCGAGAAGAACAGTGGGTGGCAGTTGCGCGCGCTCCCACCTGCCTTCAGCTGGGCCAGCGCTGGGGGGTTCCAAGCGGCATCGGGCCGATAACAGCCCTATGATCAGCTTTGGCCAGTGATCTGCCAATGTGTGCCGCACCTGGCAGGCCCGCAGAAGTCGACTCCAGTCACCATCCTCCTCCTCCTCCTCCTCCTCCTCCTCCTCTTCCTCCTCCTCATCCTCCTCCTCCCCTCCTCCTTCTCACCTCCTTCCTCCTCGCCCTCCTCCGCCTCCTCTTACCTCTCCCTCCTCCTCCTCCTCCTCCTCCTCCGCCTCCTCCTCCTCCTCCTCCTCCTCCCTCTCCCTCCTCTCTCTCCTCCACCTCCTCCTCCTCCTCCTCCTCCTCCTCCTCCTCCTCCTCCTCCTCCTCCTCCTCCTCCTCCTCTTCCTCCTCCTCCTCCTCCTCCCCCTCCCCCCCCCACCCTTCCCTCTCCTTCGCCCCGTTCCTCCTCCCCGCAGGCCTCCACGGGCCTGGGCCTGCAGGCCTGCGCTAGCCCAGCCTGCCCGGCGACGAGCGGGCGGACTGTCGCGCAGCGTTGCCCTCTCCCCTTTCGTTATGATGCTCCAGCCTACAGCCTTGACCACCAGAAAGAATGTCGAGCACCAAAAAACGTGCCGCAAATCGATGGCTCTCACGTGTCGGGCCCTGGGAGGCACTCGCCCGACACCGTTTCGACACCGTTTCGACACCGTTTCGGCACTTTTCCAGGCGCTCGAAGTGATTTCTGTGATGTGGTCCTTAAGTACGATGGGAGCAACATAACCCTTTCGATTCATCCTGTCACCTCGAAGTGAGCGCTGCAAAATATCCGAGGCAAGAGTTTATACATGACCACCACCTGGAGGGTCAGTTTTCGGAGCCTCGGCAGGCGCTGGATATGGACACATTCGGGCCCCCGGGGGCCGAAATACATCCATATCCACCGCTCGCTGGGGCACCAGGACGTCGGCTCCTTTTGGATATGGGTAAATTCCCGACTCCCAGAAAAGGCCAGTGGCCATGGGGGGGACACTCCGTGCTGCTTAATCGCACTTTCCGCACGCGAGCCTTGCAGACCATGCGCGCCCACGGCGACTGGGGCCGTGCGGATCGAGACTCTGAAGGTGTTGCTCATGACGCTGTGCCCGGATCTCGAGGACAGCGAGCCGGAAGACATCAGGCTGGCCTTCAAGGGAGCCCAGCTGAAGGACGGCGACCAGACCATCGCGGCCGCCGGGATCGGGAAGAGCAGCGAGGATTTCGTCGTCTGCCTCGGGAAGAAGAAGGACCGATCCTCATGTTCCTCCTCCTCCTCCTCTTCCTCCTCCTCTCTTCCTCCTCCTCCTCCTCCTCCTCCTCCTCCTCCTCCTCCTCCTCTCCCTCCTCCTCCTCCTCCTCCTCCTCCTCTCTTCTTTTCCTCCTCCTCCTCCACCTCCTCCTCCTCCTTCCCTCCTCCTCCTCCTCCTCCTCCTCCTCCTCCTCCTCCTCCTCCTCTCTTGTTCCTCCTCCTTCTCCTCCTCCTCCTCCTCCTGCTCCAGCATCGCGATTCCGAAAGAGAGAGAGAGAGAGAGAGAGCGCGAGAGACCCAGCTGTCAGGGAAGGTGCCGGGGAAAGGCTCGGGTCTGTCTGCGGTTCGGCCACCTGCCAGCATGCTTGCCAGCAGCAGGGAGTGCTGCCGAGCAGCTGCCCCCGTCCCCCGGGAAGAAGAGGTGTGCGAAAGCTGCAGCCCCCCACACTCACCCAGATCAAAAATACCCCAAAAAGGTCAAACAAGTATTCAATAAATAGTCCCCAGACTATTTTTGGATTATTTGTTGATTATGTTTGGGAGTATTTTTTATTTTTCGTCGAAAATCCCCCTGTAGGGGGAATGGCCCGACTTAAACCCAGATCTAGGCTTATGTCGGGCCTGTCACTCTACAGGGAGAAGATTCAAAAATAGTCAAAAAGCTAGCCTGGAGACGATTTTTGTCCGCATGTTGTCACTCTTCGGGGGCATGTTTGGGGTATCTGTTACTTTCCGCCCAAAATCCGCCTGTAGGGGGACAGACCCGACCTAAATCTAGGCACTTCCTGTCCGGTGCTCTCGGCGAGTGTGACCCATCCTCCCGACCAAGGCCAGAAATGTGCACAGAACCAATGGGGACGAAGAGTGACGGCAACTCTGGTCCGTTTGAACAGTGTTCGCTGTCGGCGTCGGCACGTCGATGTCAAGGGTCACTTGCCTTGCTCAGCACCGGCCGCTGTCGGTTTTGGACAACAGTTGTTGCCGAGCCTTTTACACTTGCTGTCCGTACCCGTTTTGGGCGTGCCAGCCGGAGCATGTTTTTGGCCGCCCTCCTCACTGCCATTTGGAGTGCCCCCTCGTGGAGTGAATACCGTTCGTCTGGGATCAGGGGCCCCGCTGGTCTTTCACTCGGGTGTGTCGGGGAGGGGGCCGGGGGCGAGGGGAGGACGAAGTAGAGGAGGAGGAGGAGGAGCAGCAGAAGGAAGAGGCGGAGGTGGAGAATGAGGAGCAGGGGGAGCGGGAGGAGCAGGGGAAGGAGGAGGAGCAGGAGGAGGAGGAGGAGGAGGAGGAGGAGGAGAGGAGGAGGAGGAGGATTGGCTTCTTGTCCGCTCGGGGCCGTCTGGAGTCGTCGTGGCGCTGCATGGGGCACGTGCCGCCCCGGGGCTCTCGAAGGCGAGAAGACGCCGACGGCCTCCCGGGCCCTGCACCATGCAGACCCGCCTCGTGGGACAGGTCCCGGGGGCGAGCGGCAACACGAGGAGGAGGAGGAGGAGGAGGAGGAGGAGGAGGAGGAGGAGGAGGAGGAGGAGGAGGAGGAGGAGGAGGAGTTGGCTGAGAAGGACTACGAGGAGGAGGAGAGGCGGAGGAGGAGGAAGGAGGAGGAGGAGGAGGAGGAGTAGGAGGAGGAGGAGGAGCATGCAGAGCAGGGGGAGGGGAAGGTGAGGAGGAGCAGGGAAGAAAAGGAGCAGAGCAGAAGGAGGAGGAGGAGAGGAGAGGAGGAGGATAGGGAGGAGAGGGAGGGAGGAGGAGGAGGAGGACGGCCTCGCGCTCCCGACGGGGCGCCCCCCGTGCTCCCCCCCCCTGCGGCAGGCGCGCGCGCCGTGCCGACGCGGCAGCCACCCTGCTGCGGGCGCTCGGGGTGGAACGCCGCGCGTGGCCCAGAAGCGGCCAGTGTGGATCGACCTGGCGGGCGAGGAGCCGCCCATCGTCCAGGGTTGGAGGAGGAGGAGGAGGAGGAGGAGGAGGAGGAGGAGGAG